GGAGAGAAAGGACGAAATGAAATCTAAAGCTATATATTGTGCCGTATAGTGGTCGGTGTTGGTGGTATATTAGGCGATTATTGCTGTAATAATAGTAACGGCAATAATGCACGTTTATACGTATTAATATTAATAATAACAACAATAACAAAAGTAATAATAGTAATAATAACGACGGATTCGATAAAGCGTATCGAGGACAGCGCCTAAAAAAGCAAATCACATCTGCAGTAAAAAAAAAAGAGCAGCAGCAACTGAAAAAGAAATCCTTTGCTGGCTTTTTGACTCAGATTTGTCATTCGGTTTGGTAACCCCAATTCATTCCCTCCACCCTTTTTTCTCACACAAATAACGTTCAAAGATATAGAAACACAGAATACGCAGATACAAACACAAAACAGACACAGGCAGCACCAGCAGCAGCATTATGATCGCTTCTAGCTTTCAGCTCAGTCTTCTTCCAAATATTATACTGCTACAGCTATTGCAGTTACTGCTGATATCTAACGGTAATAAATATTCAAAAAAAAACTAGACAAATCTCTTGCGAAAAAACATTTAATCACTCACTTTCTGTTTAGCTTAAATTACTATTATCATTTTTTATTTGTTTGTTATATTTATTTTTGCTAAAAATTGTGGTCATCGTCATTGTCAGTACTGTCATGCCTCCGAATTATCCTGTTTGATAAATATAATCTTGTTACTTATCAGTGATAAGTAACGGGCATCTGATGGTACCCTGGCGGAAAAATTTTTTGTGAAATATCAATGATTCCCTCCACTGAGTAATTCAATTTTTTAAAATAATTTTTCTAATAAGTTTCTTTCTTAGCTTTAAGTCTTACTTTGTAATTCATTAAATGTTTAAAAAAACTTTTAAAGAAGAAAACTTTAATTTTTTTAAAAGCAAATAATATTTGTAATTACAGAGGCAAAAAAAAGCGCTAAAAACTGATTTTTCTTCTGAAACATTTCAAATTTTAAACTTTCCCTAACACCTTTGTTAATCGCCGTTACTGTTGCGACTGCTATTCTTCGACCCTATTCATATTCATTTATTTAAATAAAAGCAAAGTTAAAGATTTAAATTTTATTTGTTACCTCAATTTCTAAATTTGAGTATTAAATGGCGATACTTTAGTTTACATATTATTTTGTTACAGTTACCGGTGGTACGGAGTCACAGTTGTCGGTGAACTGTAATTTTGAAA